ACACACACATACACACGTGCGCGAGCACAAACACACACGCACACACACACACACACACACACACACACACACACACACACACACACAAACAAATTAACTTTATTTTTTTCCTAATCAATCGATCAATCAATCAATCAAACAGCAAAGAGGAAGAAGAAGAGGAAGAAGAAGAAGAAAAAAAAAAAAAACAATCATCTCGGCAAAAATTTTAGGGGACTCTAACTCCATATCAGTCATGAAAAAAATAAAAAAAATATATTCCTCCTTTTTTTTTAGGTTTTTTTTTTTTTATATAGTTATTTTTCTTTTTTTCTTTTTAACCCTTTTTTTTTTTTACAAATCGCAAATGAAGTCTAATTCAAAAAACAATATATGGGGCTGTAGGGCTTTCAAAACTCTACAACCCCATATTTTATTTTATTTTCACTTTTTTTTACCCCAAAAAGAAATCCAAAAAATTTGGCCGCAAACTAGGCTTGGCGGCCGCGGTTGCGGCCGACTTTTTCAGCCGCAGTGGATGAATTGCCCGCGACCTAGGCCACGGGTGTCACATAGGTGCCAAGGATTTTAGGAAAACGGGGGAGGAGTCCCAGATCGGAACAGGAATCTCCAGATTCGGTGTTCCAGGAACATGGATGCGGTCCGGGCGAAAAAGGGGTGTTCCAAGTTTTCGGCGCAGCCGGTCATTAGCCCACGGGCAGCCTTGGCAGTCGGTGTATACAATTGTAGTTGAGAACGAATATTGAATTTCGATACTACAGGCCCATGTTGTGACAGTCATTCCTACCTGTGCAGATTGATATTTTACAGGTTTCACGAGAAAGGATTATGTGAGCGCGTGTATACATGACAGGTCACACTATCGGCAAGCCATAACGCATGCATGAGTTTGCACAAATTCCCCTCATCAGACTATTCTCCTGGATTTTCACAAACCGATCCCAGACAAGCATTCAAACAAGCATCCATGTTCTCCAATTATAATCAGGAAGAGGGCGCACAAAAATGCGGGTAATCAAGATCACAATTACCATTATGTCCAACATCACTCCAT